ATTCGTGACAATGAATATGTTGTAACTGAGGCGCTAGATTTGTGCGATTGCAGTGTGCTCTATCAAAATTTTCCGGCCATAACAATTTACAACCTAGCTGTAAGTACTATACCATGGATGTGTACTTGGATGCAGGTAAGGAAACAGGTCCCGGTGAGAGTATAAGCCTTCCATTCCTGAATTTCTCGCACTAAATTTGGTTCATCGTACACAGGTTTGGAGCCAAGCATGCCGCTACTGATCACCCTTGATATGTATACAAGGCCCCGGTTTCTTATTCTATCGCAGGTGAGAGGTTGCCACATGGATGCACGTGAATTCGCATCTGGTACTGAAGACACAGCTATATTGCTAATGATAACGGTGAGGAACTTGTCTAAGATGCAGGTGTGAATCTGTGTACAGATTCTTGCTGAAAGCAGGCCATCTAGCAGGAATGATATCGAGGCCGTTTTCGTAGACTATCGTTCACAGGCTAAAGTGCTATACGTTCCGCGCGGCAGGTATAGTAACTAATCGGATAGAATAACTACAAATACCGAAAAGTCCCCCAATAAAAATGCAAGATGATTCTATGGGCAAGACGTCGAAGTGATAGACAGCTACGAGCGAGCCTGGCTTGTGCGCAGCCTACGCACATAGCTTCTCTTCAATAAGACCCATTTCGTTTTACTAGCAAACTTTCTTTTCAATAGCTCACTCACAAGCCGCCTTCTGTTCGATAGATTATCAATAGCACGACTAAAGTTAAATAGCGCACCTTCTGCTATATAACACATCTCTTTATAATAACACAAACCCACAGTTCATCAGCGTGCCTTCTGTTAATGATACAGATATCTACATAACATAGCACCGTCTGGTCAATCGCCCCCCTACTGCCTATTAACACACCTTCTGTTTGATTTCATTGATACTGTCCACTCTGTGTGTGATGGCATCGATATGCTGTTTTGGATGAAAGAATGTGAAGCGAAAAAAGTTATCAAAGACGAATGTTCAGAAGAATGGAGCTGGTAATAGAAACTGCGTACCCTTGCATCATAGATATGTACCGATAACTTTAGAATATATACATAAATCACATTTCAAATAAGTGA